TGTGTGTGTGTGTGTGTGTGTGTGTGTGAGAGAGAGAGAGAGAGAGAGAGAGAGAGAGAGAGAGAGAGATAGATAGATATGAGGTCATACTCTGTAGCCATGGTTGGCTTGGAACTCATACCATGCTTTTCTGGAGCTCACAGAGACCTGCCCGCTACTGCCTGGAATTAAAGTATGTGCCACCATACCTGGCTCATCTGTAAATTTTTTTTTTTGAGACAGAGTTTCTCTGTGTAGCCCTGGCTATCCTGGAACTCACTCTGTAGCCAGACTGGCCCGAAATTCAGAGATCTGCCCATCTTTGCCTCTTGAGTGCTGGGATTAAAGGCGTGCATCACCACTCCCTGCTGTAATTCATAATTTGTATTTTTTTCTCTGAGTGCAATGACTGCAGAGGCCAGAAGAGGGCTCCGTTCCCTGGAGCTGTAGTAACAGGCAGCTGTGAGCTGCCTGATGCGGAAGAGCTACAAGCATTTTTAACCAGAGTCATCTCTCCAGCCCTGTGGTCTATAAATCCCTAGTTAGCTGTAGCTCCAGAAACATATTAGTCTGGGAGATCTGTATAGTTTTAAATAAGTTTTTTTTGTTTTGTTTTATTTTGAGGCCCGGTTTCACTGTGTAGCCGTCTGTCCCAGAACTCACTTTGTAGACCAGGCTGCCCTCTAACTCACAGAGATTCACCTGCCTCTGCTTTACAAAATAAGGTTTTGAAGCTAAATATTCTAAAGTTTGCAGTTTGTGAAGAGCATTCTTTTTTTAAAAAGAGTATTCTTTTATGTATTTAAACAATTCAGTTTCTGAATTTGTGTGTGTGCTTGCGCAAATGCATCAGAGTAGAGTACATTGGCTAGCTTCATACACACACCTTGCATCTACCTAGAACTGCTCCTCAGAGACGTTTTGATCACTTCTTTGTGTTTTCTGGAGCTGGTTTATGAATATAACTGGTTATGTAAGCATGCATTTTAAATAGCCAAATGTCACATCAAGTTCACACATTTTCACTCTGCCTTTTCTCTTTTTACAGGGATTTCTCACGATCTGCTTTGGAATTATGAAGTTGGGAGAAGAAATATTTGTCCTATGTGGCCAAATTAATACTCATTTTGCAGCCTTTTATTCAACTGTTTTTAGCTTGTATTCAGGATTATAGTTAGGGGGAAAAAAAAAGAGATCAAATTATTATTTTTTTTTTTTTTGGTTTGTTGAGACAGGGTTTCTCTGTGTAGCTTTGCGCCTTTCCTGGAATTCGCTTTGGAGACCAGGCTGG